GGTGTTTTGGGAAGTAACCCAAAAACAAATCTGTGTGGGTATTATCATTTGGACCCAAAGCGGACAATATTATACTGACAAGGAGTTGGATATGGGCTTGAAAAACCCAACAATTGTTCAGTGTGGGAGAGAACCCTTAAAGTGACCTTGCGTGGGGTGCTGGTGTCTTGTATTGAAAATCTTCCTAATAGTTGTGCAAGGATTAGGAGAAGAGTTATGTTAGTGCGTACGGCGGTACAAGATGGTTTGAGGGAGGGATTGTTGGGATATCAATCCAAGTCCCTCATCAGAAGTTTAGACCAATATGGTTTAGTATATAAGCCATGTCTAAAAGTAATTAGTATGAGACATTTTGAGAAAGAATCCAAAAACAAATCAAACTTTATCATTTGATTCCAAAACGGATAATATCATACTAATAAAGAGTTTAACATGGGTTTGAAAAATCTCAAATCAGAAACTAGGTAATCTATTAAGCAATTCTAGTATTACACAGTAAAAGAGTTTGGATCATTCCCATCATGAAATCAATCGAGATAATATTAGAACATTTTAATAAAAAGAAAGGGATTATATTAGAACCTAATTCAATAAATTACGCAAGGAAAACAAAAATCTAAAGCCCAAATAAGAAAAGGAATATTGCGATCTAGAGAACTGGAAGTTACAAAACTTTATTAGTCCGAATCGAGTCTCGCGTTGTATTAATCAAATACGCATGCACGTGGACGTTTACTACCTTTAACTCTTTAAAAATATAATAATCAATATGTACCTGCCATTCTCTTAATGACATGTATTTGATTCGATGTGTAGGATAGGACTTGGGTAAGTACATGTTTCATTTCTCTAATATACAGATAAGTTTCTGTATTATTAGAAGACTGTGCAGATTTTTTTTTGTATGATAAAATAGTGTGCAAATGTTTCTATTTATTTTGTTGGAAACTATATATGGATCAGTTTGTTCTATTATAAATAATTGTGAGTGTCAGTGTTATATGTTTTCAAGATTTGGTCGAAACATTATTTAAAAAAAAAAATGTATGGTATCGAATTTCTAGATTCATGGTATTTGCAATTTCTTGTAAAAATTGCAAATCAAGCTTCATTCATGCTCAAAAGAGCCTAAAAGATAGAAATTAGGAAAATGAAATAGCTCATTGGCGATCTGTATTGTCAAATGAAATTAAAAGAGAGGAAAACTTAAACAAAAAACACCATGATCAAGTCAGATTTCAATTTATCTCATAAATTATATATGAAGGATGAGAAATATACTTGCACAACCATTACCATTCGGAAGATATCAAACAAATATTCAAAATATTCTCATCCAAGTTAGCACGATTAACTTTGGAGATCATAGGTGAAGATATAATGACTATTTAGGAGAATATGACGTCATGGTATCATATGATATCAATCAAAATGAAGTTTAACTTATCGATACACACAATGCAGCACTTTTCTCTAGTCAACATGATGCCAAATCCTTCGGCTATCTTCCTAACAAAATAATGCACGTGCCAACTGTTGCGATGACATAGCTTGTCGTATTACATACATTCATTGCCAAAGCGTATTCCAGAACTCATATACAAATGATTGCTACGAAAAATTATTAGAAAATAAATTGGTAGGAATATTAATTTACAAATCATTATCCCGTAAATAATGAAACCACATTATCAAAAATAAAAAAGATTATGAAACCATAAAGTTTATGGATGAACTGATCTGGCGTAACTAAGAAAAACATATAAAATTACATGTCCCAGATTATGGAGACATATAAACATATTGAAAACTTTATCAACCAGTAGAACAAGAGAATCTCCAAAGGAATTTCCACTAAGCAAATTAAATTATGGAACAAGAGAATCTCTAAAGGGATATCCACTAAGCAAATTAAATTATGAAGGCTTATATTAACTTGGATTCCAACAAAATTAGTAATTTATATTTAAATTATTGTAAGTTTACAGCAAGTTTGGTTTATTTTCGAATACACGAACTCAACAAGCTATCACACCTTTTTTTTTAATCCGATTCATATTAGAATCTGATTAAAAAAAAAGACACAATTAAATTGAAACTTATACATCCCTCATATTATTAAAGTATTAAACACTAAGAATACGAATAACAAAATTTGTATTCAAAAGTAATATACAAAATTTGAATTAGGAAAATAAGATATATTTGAAAAGAATATATTTTAGCATAAATTTATGAGCTACATATTAATCACTAAACATCATATGGAAATTATGTAGTCTAAAACTGATTTCTTTTCGATCTTAACAAACTTGGCTACCGAAAATAAAGTTGCTAGAATATTATATATTCAAATGCTGGATTTATGTTTGTAAGGCGTTGTTTAAAAGATTTGTGGATTGTGGACATTACCGAAAATACTGTGGATTAATTATTGCAATAACTGCTTTTGTCTTATTCACTTAATAGAAGTTACTCAAATACATAACTAATTCAAGTACACAATTACAAGTACAGCACTTAAAGTGGGATTGTCAATGTTGCTAATCATGTGGTTGTTTAATACTATTAAAATGTAATATTCTTCACCTTCACTTTTTTAACAAAAAAAAAAACAATGCTACAGAATGAAATTGTTTATAAAATTATCGAGCACGTATCCCTAATTTTTCACAAACGGACACGCGCTGACCTTGGGATGATGATCGAGATCTTTAAGTACGTTAGCCAATCAGTTAATTGAAGTTGTAGTCTATTGAAAAATTGGAAATAAATGTAAAACCATGTGTGTTGTTTGTCTTCCTTGATCAGTTCAAGTGATACTTTAGAGAAAGTTGGCAATAAATGTTTCTATTGTGATTTACAGTATATGTTTAGAAATTAGAACTATAATACAGTGTAACCAAATAATGGTAACAAATAACATTAAGCTATGAAATAAGATAAAATTCGTATATTGAAAAGTCGCAAAATGAAATGATGAATACATGCAATTGATTAAATTTGCGAAACGATGGAATATACAGTCTAAAATTACTAATATATACGTATAAGAAATTCTTATCCAGTTTAACCTTATTTCAAGAGAGGCTAATGGTTTAGCTGACTCGCTGGCCAAACATGTCATTAGAGGGTTGGTTGTTCAAGTTTAATTTCTATTAATGAAGAAGTGGCATGCACCCAAAAAAAAAATATAGTTGGATATACTAAATAATATTTTCTAATGAATTTTAAAACATTTTAGTTACTATCTGATAGAATATTAAAATTATATTTCAGAAACTGTGACATATTTAAAAACTATCCGAAAAAGTGACATATTTTCACCATAAAAAAGTATTTATACCTTTTTCTGTAATTATTTTTTTCACAGTTAATGTGAAACATTTAGAAAGAAAACAACAATTAAGATATTTAGACCAAAGAAAATGGAACAGAAATGAGCCGAGCAAATGGTACGAAGTTAATTAGTTTTGTAATATTTTGAGTGATCGAAACATCTTTCCATCAATAATTATTATAGAAAAATGTTTATCGTTTGTATAAATATCAATGCTGTGTTAATTAAATAAAAAATCGTTCAAATGGACCAAACGTAATCAATAGTATATATATATATATATATATATATATTTTAACCGTGGATGTATATATGTATATTTTTTAACCGTGGATGTATTGCTAGTGACGAACGTTCCTGTGAATGGCAATGATACGTCTCAGAGGGTCAACGAAGTGTTGACTGAAGGATGAGCTGGGATATGAAAAGCATAAACAAGAGCTAGTCTTTGTTTCGCTTAGAGTGTTTGCTGTTAGATTGTTTTCTCGATTATAAATATTTGTACATTGTCTTTCATCTTTCTCATGCTTGATATTGTTGTTGTTGGTAAGTGGCTATGAGACTTAGTGACTTACACCTCCGCATCCGATCGCCATGAGACCATGAGAGACTGTTGAGCATCTTCGTTGTACGTACTTCGTTCATAGATTCAATAAAGAGTGATTTTCAAGAAGATCGGAGTTGCGAACTCTATCAGGCAATCATATTCATATGAGATCTAATAAACAGTAAAAGAGCAGATGGTATGAAATTATAGTTTCATGAAGATCAAGATGAAATTTCACAAAATTCTGACCTTTAGGTTGAGTACGACTGTCCAAATCGCTGAATGATTATATCTTTAAGGTTTTTTGTTCAAATCCTAATTCTATTTTCAGTTTTTCATCAGCTTTTTATTAGATTAGTATGTGAGCTTAAAAATTAAATGTTAAGCTAGCGGATACGTGAAAAATTACATAGTTAATGGTCTTCCGGGTACTTACACCGTGGATAACATTGATATATATGTTCGCAAGGCGCACATTTACTACTAACGCATTCGATAGTAACACTTTCGATAGGGCTTGCCATTTGAACTGATGACAAAACTTGCTTGACGCAGGTATGTTTTATACGTACTCTTATTATATGACATGTTCTCATCATGTAAGATATCTTTAATATCTGAGAATTAAACGTTTCTATAAGAAAAAAATTTAGCGTAGAAGCAATTCTTAATCCGGTCGAGGAAAGGAACATAAGCTAGAATTCAATAGCTTAAAAATAGGTGAAATTTAATAGATAAAAAAGGAGACAAAACACTGAAAACATAAAGATTCTCTCTCAAGATGAAACTCAGAAGGATCCAAAATTTTGCACAATGACATTAGATATTTCTTGGAGAATTACAAAATTAGAAAGATACATACATATATAGTATATAATTACTATACCTATCTACTATAAAGATTCCATCCTCGTGTGGACCAACGTGTGACAGATATATGATGACTCGGTGACTTCAATGTCTTGGGTCTTATACATATTAAAAGGAATCCAGAATTTCTTGATTTGCACATAAGTTAACGTTACTTATTGTACATTGAAATCGTATTCAAATGTGACGGCAACATAATTAATGCGGAACAATATAACAATTAATTAGCAATTTTTTTCTTCTCTAGTTTGAGTTCCTATCTCGTTGTGATGATGAGAGGATTACATCAATGGCTTCTTTAACCTGAGAAATGTCCGGAGCTTTTCCTCCTTGTGCCGGCCAAAACTCATCGGCCGCAAGTACCTATAAAAACGATTATGTGTATCAATACATACGTGATAGAAAAAGACCTAATTGTATATGACATAGCTTATGTTACAATTAATAATGGAATGTTTGTTGATTAAGAATAATCTACCTTAACTTGTAGTTGAAGAAATTTGACATAGCCTATTGCTTTCTCAAGCATCGTCACCAAATCAACCTTCATAAAAAAAAAAAAATCAACCTTCATAGAACCACCATAAAGATCAAAATTATTAGTATGTATAATGCATCTTTATTTTTTATTCTCTAGATTTGAAATTTAAATGTTTTGGTATAAAAATACCTTGGTGCCATTGGGTACAAGTTCTTGCAATACTTTGAGGCGTTCGCTTATCCTTTCTCTTCGGTTCTAGACAAAGTAACATATTTTTGTATTGGTTAATACTACTTCGCAACAAAAACAAAAAAACTTGTTATGAAGAAAAAAGAAAGCAAACCTTGGCTGCTAGGCTTTGTGGATCTTTAGGTGAAGTTGTTGCCTTCTTGGCCTTCCCATTCATACCGTTACTCGGCTTCTTGGAAGGTTGAGTGTTCTCTCCCTGTGGATCATTAGATGCATGGTAATCATTCAACATCTTCAAGTGATCTAAATCATGTATGAGAAAGATAATTCGTAAAATATACATTTGGAATTATTATTTCTTACCGTGCAAGGACGTTTATTTCCAGCTGATTTAGGGTTCGCACACTCGTGCCTTGAACCAGTGTTTACAATGGTTGAATCAGAATATAACCAATCTCCTTTTCCATGGTTTGTTGCCGGTTTAGGCAATCCGAAAATACCCGTTGTTTCCAAGCAATTTGGAGTTTTCATGACTCTAGGGCTAATACTATCGAACTGACTATGACTCCAGCCTGTGTAGTCGTAGCTCATGTTCCCGTCCAAGACAGATGCTGGAGGGATAAAGCTTCGGTGATGATCGAAACTAAGGAATGAAGAAGTGTTGAAATCCATCAAAGAGTTATGATCTTCATTGGTTTCGCTTGAAGGGTAAAACAGAAATCCTTGATTCTGTTGATGGTCAGAGTTCATGGTGCTACTGCTTGAAGCTGAACCTCCTCCTTCGCCGCCTGCATAAGCTACCTCCGTCTGATCCAATCTGTAATTCTCTGGCGAGGAGAGATCTTCTGAAGAATTTGGTTTAGAAATGTAAGGCTCATTGAGATGGTCATGAACGAGCGCCATTGACACTAGCTAAGTATATGGTGTTGGTTAAGGTTTCAGGGTTAATTTGCTTCTTCTTTTTTTGTGTGTTAGATTTTGCTTTGGGAGGTTATATGGAGATTTGAGAAATTGAAACGTGATATGGTTTTAAGGTTCGTAGATTGGTAAGCAAAGAAAGGCAATAATGTTTGTGTAGTTATGTTATCATAAAGGTTTATATAAGCGGTTATTTCTAATATTTTAAAAGAAGTTGATGGCATTTAATATCTGTTTATTTCTACTTAACCTATAATGATTAAAAGAAGAGGCTGGCATGAGATCAAAATAGATATTTCTCGAGTTTATTAATCTTATCAGGCGAAGCTTCGAAGTCATTATAAATGTAGATTACTATCCACATGCAAGTACAATTTTTAATACTAATTAATAGCGATATGAAAATCGCTTATTACTTTTAAGATTAACTTAATTACGTGGGATGATTTGACATTCTAGTAAAACCACCTTATTAAACTCGATCGAGTAAATGGAAATGACAAACGACTTAGTGAAACCTAACGAAAACTAGAGTCTTCGTGGTTTTAACCAAAATTTGAGTCTAATGTATTTTTCTGCTTCACAAGGACCTTTTTTCATTATATAATCAGGACGTCGGGCTTTTAACAACTAACTAAATCATTCATGGTGAGTGTAGCGGCCAAATAGCACACTTACGGATTTTGTAATGTGTCTAAAACTTGACACCATTTCAACCGGCCAAACAGAAGTGATTAGATCATTTCACGCTTGAGAAAAATCGATCTTTGACTTTGACCAACAAGGCAAGTTCTCAGCAAGACTAGCCCACTAGCTTTATAAAGACTTTATAGATTGCAATTTGATACTCGAGTTTAATTTAGGGTTTCTAGCTATTGGATAGCTGCATCTTGTTGTGTGATACATAGATATATGCTCTGTTGTTATTTATCAAGTAAGTGTTAATCTATGATGATGTATGCAATGTAAGCAATTAATGAATGTGGTTCCAAGTGTATTAATTACAATAATACTATTAGTTATGATCTCTCATCGGGATTGTTAGCTGGCAGTGGTGAAATTAATGGACTGGGAGACTTTACAAACCATAAATAAATTACACAGAGATGGAAAAATTAAAGAAAATTGGAGATTGAATGAACAAAGAAGCAAAAGCATCGCCGGATCTTCCGCTAATCTTCACGTCGTTTTTATTTCCATTTTAATACTCATTTACTCACACTCAAGGTGCTTTGTTTTCTCAAAAGAAGCAAAAACGATTATTTGATACCTTTTTTGTTTTCTAAATGATTTTTTTTTAATAACTAAGAGGTTATGAGCTTAGGCCCGTGCATCCTCTCAGATCCGGTACTAGAGCATGTTATATGGTCTTGTCTATATGATTTTCTTGTTTATCAAGTCCGAACAAAACCAAAAAAAATCATATAGAAAAAGAAAGTGTGTTCTGGTTTGGTTGAGATTTGCATGCTCTTTATTTGTGTATAAAGATGATAAAAGTATTAGTTGTTAGTTGAAAAATCTAGTAGAAAAAATTTTCTTGGTGTTGAAGTCTTGTTTCATATAATTTCAATTTATTTATATTTGTGAATTCGTCACCACCAAATATTAACCATAGGGAACCTAGGTAAACTATAATTTTGAAAGCGTTTTGTGTCTCAGGATATGGAACCCTTGTGATATGGCCACCTTGATCGGTCTAGAGACCGATTGCTGTTACATTTGGTCTCTCGTCTTTTGTTGGCTTGATTGGTGATTGTTATCGGCAGGGCCGGCCCTGAGTTAAAGCAGGTGAACCTCTTGCCTTATGATGAGGACATGCAACCTGAACCGGATCTAACCGAGCCTCAACTCCAAGATATCGAAGTTCCAACAATGCATGAAGGACCAATAACAAGGGCAAGAGCTAGAATACTTCAACACAAGTATAATCAAAGCCTACAAGCCGCAGCTAAAGAGATACCAAGAGAAGATCAAGAGCAATGCCAAGAAGAGACGGTTTACAAGGGCCATTGTCTACAAGCTGGGGCCGAGACATTTCAAGAGTTCTCATCAACCCACAACAGCCCAAAGAACCAGGACGTCTGGCCTCTTTTACCAAGTCAAGCCCAAGTTCAAGTGCTTAGCATCGCAAGAATGAATCAAGACGCTTAAAGAGGGATGTTCAAGTTCGGTCAAAGACAAGACACGCTAATCATGGTCACAAATAAGGTAAGTCTTTCATTTCATTTGACTAACGAATTTCCTTGTCTTTGTTGTGTTGCAGCCGAGAGAATATAGTCTAGACTTTAGCTTAGTAGTTTGAATTTTCCTTTATAGTTTTCCTTGTTTATTTCCCTTTGATGTTGCACCTTTCCTTTTCAAGTCCTGTCGCATTGAGTCTTTTTTTTTCTCTTGAGTCTAAGCCGCTTGGACGTTATATAAGTCCCTTTACGACCGTGTAACTTTTCAACTTTGATCATCAATAAAATCGAACTTTTCTTTCAAGCTTTTCTCAGCAAAGAAAACTTGTTAAACCACTTTGTTCTAGTCGAGACCAGTCCCTCCTAGACCAAAGATTACTCGTGTTTTATCATAAGCCTTTCACAGCTTGTATGGTACACCTCATTCCATTGTTACTTAACCGATCCTCCATACGATTCCTTGGTTAGAGAAGCTCGACCATTGAATCAACCCTTGGCCGTTAAACCAAGCTTTGTGTTTCGAGATCATACAAGCCTTGAGACAGCCCTGAGCTTGTATCATTTTTGGTATCAGAGCTGAAGTTCCTTTCAGCCCAAGTTTTATCTTTCCGATTCTGTCTATTTCAGTTTTGTTCTTCCTTGTTTTGTTTTTAATTCATTGCATCATTATATAAAAAAAAAGGGTCATATAGTCTGTCATTGTCTTTCAAAAATCCCAAAAGAAAACATAAGATCATAGCATTACATCTAGTTTAACGTAATATTCATCATTGTATCTCATCTTTACAAACCTTTACGCTCGCTCATCCTTGTCTTCTTCATTAGATCGTTTAAGGAAAAGTCAAAAAAAAGAAGGAAATCCTCATTAGTCCCGTAATTGCATCCTTTCCATTTTTAGTTTCAATCATTTTTCTTGATTAGTTTGACTGGAAAATTTACTTAAAGAAGACCGAGCAAATTTCCTTATTTGCTTTTGTCCCAACTAATCTCTTCTGTTTCATTTTTGCGAGAAAACTCAATCAACAACCATGGGAGAAGAGAGTAGTAATGCTCAAGATGCTCTTCACCAGCTAATAGCATCCATGAAAGATGAGATCAAAGCCCTAAGACAAGACTTTGGCGACCGACTCAGCCGTGTGGAACAAGCAAGAGTGACCTTGCAACCCACTCGCAACCTTGGAGGTTTGAACACCGACTTCACCACTAATCAGCACACCCGAAACAACTTGAGACCTACTGGAGTTCGCATCAACGAAGCTAATCACACGCAACTCACCGATGACGATTCTTCTCAAGATGATGAACCAGCCCAACGGCGACCTAGAAACAGGAGGCGTGTGCCGCAAGACGACTATGGAGAACAAGAGGAAGATGAGTTCTACTCATCTACAAGACAATCCCAGCATCATGTCAAGCTGACCGCACCAAGCTTCGCAGGAAAAGTTGATCCCGAAGCCTACCTTGATTGGGAAAAGAGGATGGATCACATCTTTGATTACTATAACCACCCCGGTCCAAAGAGGGTAGCATTGGCGGTAGCACAACTCACAGACAATGCCCTTATCTGGTGGGACAGGGTGATATCAGACCGCAAAAGAAATCGTCTTAGAGCCATCGACTCATGGATCGACATGAAAGATATGTTAAGACAAAGGGGAAGAGGACACATATCAAGAGAATGCCCGAACCAGCGAGTGATGCTTGTAACCGAATCCGGAGACTATGAATCTCAAGACGAGGCAGAGACTGAGCCTCTAGAGGAGTATGGTGACATTGAATACCCTGATACTGGCGAGCTCCTTGCACAAGACGTACCTTGAGTGCAATGGTGGAACCCTCCGAGACTATTCAGCGTGAGAACATTTTTCATACCCGTTGCACCATCAAAGGCAAGGTATGTAATCTCATCATTGATGGTGGGTCTTGCACCAATGTTGCTAGTGCTCACATGGTCGATAAGTTAGGCCTTGAGAGAACTAAACACCCTCGGCCTTATAAGCTAAGGTGGCTCGATGACAAGGTAGAACTTAAGATCAGTGATCAAGTGTCTATACTTTTTAGTATTGGTCGATATCAGGATCAAGTAATTTGTGATGTTGTTCCCATGCAAGCTGGACATTTGTTATTAGGTAGACCATGGCAATTTGATAGAGAAACTAAGCATGATGGTAGAACTAATATGTATACCTTTGTGCATAACAATAGGAAAGTTAGCTTAGCACCTCTCACGCCATCACAAGTGCATGACTTGCAAATGCAAATGCTCAAAGAAAAAGAAAATCATTCTAAGCCCAATTTTCTTATTCAACCTAGTCATGTAAGAAAAATTGCCTCCAAACACACAATGCTACTAATGATCTTTAAGGAGCTTTTGAGCGCAGGTTTTGGAGAACTCGATCTACCACCCGAAGTTTTTACTTTGCTTGACAGGTTTAAGGACGTATTCCCTGATGAGATGCCCGAAGGACTGCCACCAATAAGAGGCATAGAGCATCAAATTGATTTCATACTAGGAGCTGCATTATCAAACAAGCTGGCTTACCGTATGAGTCCTGAAGAGTCTAAAGAATTGGAGAAACAAGTCAAAGAGCTGTTAGACAAGGGGTATGTAAGGGAGAGCCTCAGCCCGTGTGCTGTACCAGTTCTGTTGGTGCCAAAGAATGACGGGTCTTGGCGCATGTGTGTCGACTGTCGAGCCATCAACAACATTACCATCAAATATAGACACCCGATTCCAAGACTAGACGACATGCTTGATGAGCTTAGTGGAGCTACCCTATTCTCCAAAATCGATCTCAGGAGTGG